TTTTCCCTCTGTTGCCCTGTCTGCAGGTGTGTTGAGAAGCAATGGCCACAGCGGCTCTTCTGAAGTTAGCACCATCCGAGCGCTACTTCCCTTCAAGCACAGCAGCTGCTTTCTTGTGGACAAGCGCTGTCAACATGAACGTGACCAGGCCAAAATCTGCCAAGGGACGCACACGGTCGAGCTTCAGTTACTCTCCCCAGGTTGAAGCTTATCCTTGCCGAGTGCCATCTTCACCGCCGGCTGCCCAGGAATCAGCCAATAGACAGAGAACGTTATCGCCAAAACCGGTGTTCCCATCCAGCCAGGTGTCTCCTGAAGAAATCCCGGAGCTCCTGCAGCAAGTGCCTTTGAGGACCTCCTCTTCCCTGAACAAGTACAGGGTGCTCCCTTCCATCGGCAGGAAAGACTTAGGGAACAGTGCTGTGGAAATAGTAACCAAGCAGACCAGCAGGCTGAAAATGAGTAAGGGACTGGTAGAAGCCGAAAAACTCAAACCCCTTTCTAGAGAACAAAGATCGGCCAGCATATTGTCAGAAGCTGAAGAACCTCCTGAGGAAGGCTTGCATGTTCAGTGTCCGTCTGAAGAGCTGGGAAGGAAAATGAGGCAAGAGAGCTCTTCATTGTCCGCTTCAAGTTTGGAAGAGCCACCAAAGAAAGAGCCAAGTTTGCTGCTTGCTATTAGATCTCCATCTGGTCAAAGATTCGAGCATCATTTCAAGCCAACAGACACTCTTCAGAAGGTCCTTGCTGTGGCAGAGCAGAAAACCACCACCAGATACAAACACTGTAGTGTTGAAACCATGGAGGTACCAAGGAGGAGTTTTTGTGACCTTACAAGGTCTCTCCAAGAGTGCGGAATCCTCCACAAGTCAGTGTTGTGCATCCTGCAGAAAGAGCAGGAGGAGGCACATCTCTCGGGGCACGAGGACCACAGCGCGAATCCCCACACGCCTCTGTAGGTTGTGCTGCTGGGCAGGACGTGGCACCTCCTGTCAAGCGCCCCAAAACCCAACAGTCGGAAGGTTCCCGGGCCGCCGCCTTCATCTTGCTGTTTTCCAAAAGCTTCCTTTGAAGTAGAGCTGTGTATATAAACCAAGTGTGTTGAAATATTGCTTTATATTGCTTATACCTACTGCATTGACTGGATCTTTTTTTTTTCTTTTTTTACTTGTACAATCATAAATCACTTCTCCAGCACCACCAGCTTTTGGCCTTTTTGCGGTGGTCCATTTTCTTCTTTGAAGACTGATGTTTCTGACTTATACTTTCCTTGGAGTAGGCAATCTCTTCTCTTGTCTTTTTTTAATTTTTATTTTAGGTATATATTTGACAAATGTACCGTTTCCCAGAAGGGATTCTGATTCAGTATGCCATATTTGGGAAGATAGAAGTAGAACTGTTTTGTTTGTCCATCTTCAGTAGATCATCACACTACAGCACCTTCTTAACCTCAAAAGGGACTGAACTCCAATCAGATCTGAAAACCCTCTGAAAATAAGAGCAATGACACATAAGAGTTAGTAGATTAGTAGAAGTATTAAATGCAAGGTCAATGGTAAAAGATGTTTGAGAGCTCAGCTATTCCTGGAAAACCTCAGTGTCTCTTTGGGGAGTGTGGCTATATTGTACTTGCCAGAACAACTGATTAATTTTGGGCTGTATTTTTGCTTTTAATTTGTTTTCTTCTCTCATTCAACTGTTACGATTCATAGGTAAAACTGCCGTTTAACACTTCTACAACTGAACTCAAGAAAGTAAAAGAGGCTTTGAGGGGGATTTGTTTGTTTGCTTTTCATATATTGATTGGATTTGGATGGGAATTGGCTCACTCAGTAGATCGTATTTTATTAAACCATTACGGCTCTTTCTGAGCTATTCCATTTAAAAAGTCTGCTAGAGTAACTTGGGCACATTTTAGCATAAATTCAATGTGGTTGGGTCTAAAGAAAAAAAATATATATACGTTTCTGGTGGAATTTCTTACAATTCAAAGGCGACAATTAACTGAGCCAAAAATGGCTTGGGCTTCTGAAAGTGGACAGCTTACCAAACAACCAAGCTAGTTTTGATATTGTTAAGCAGAACCAAGTTTTGGGGTTTTGGGTTTTTTTTTACAGTAAAACCAAGGTTTTTTTACCTCTGTGTAACTGCCAACTTGGGAAAATAACAGTAGGAGAAAACTCATTATGGTGTTGACCAAGAGCATGGAATTTTATCAAGCAAGTATTTGGGGTCCATGCGTTTTATAAAACCACCTCTTGGGGTGCAATGCATTGTACTTAAAACATTCAGAAACAACAGGAGCAAGAATGAACTGTTTGACCCCCTTTCTGTATTTAATTTGGTGTTTAATGGTTAATGAGACACATAAAACAGCAGTGAGCTGTGCCAGAAGTTTGAACCTGCTAATGTTAAGAATATGCAGACCCCATTTTTAATGTCTCTGCACTATTATCCAATTATCCCTGACCTTCAGTAACAGTTTAGCTCTTTAAAATGAGACTGCAATGTGTGATCAGACAGCATCCTTTTTACTTCCTTCCTGCTACTGGAAATCTTTTTTTTTTTCCCCTACTTTCATGTATCCAAGCGCATCCTACATCACATCTTCGCTGGGAATAAGGAGCAGGACTGAAGGGAAAAGAGCATTTGTTACCGGTACTCCGAGTAGCCACTGTGTTGATCTTTTCAAAGCAGCTCTAAAAATGCAGGTTTCTCTAGCTCACTAGTCATAACAGAAGCGAGAGCATCAAATCAGGGTTAGCATACAGCAAGTGTCACCTGATTTTCTGTATATAATGTTACATTTAAGTTTTCAGACTGTTTTCATACTGTGTGATAGGAAGAACAAATCAATAAAATCTTACAGGGTGAAAGTTGCACTTAAAATGATGTATGGGAAGTAGAGGTTTAACTACTGCATCTCATCTTAAGCAACAACCACAATTAATTTGGCTGTAAATACCAGGTGCTGCCCAGAGCGACTCCCACGCTGTGGCACATGCACACCCCTGTCTCCCCATCATCTTTCAAGTGGTTTCCTGGAGTGTTTTATCCCCATTCTCTATTAAATACCAGTTTGTGCAGCTGAGGAAGTAGCAGTGCTTCAGATCAACCGCTGCCTGCTGCGGATGACCAGAGAAACTGCGACTGCTGCACAGCTCTAAAAGCACATGGAGACCAAGACCTAACCAGAACACAAGAGAAGAGCAACCTGGATCACAATGGACAGCACTTATCCTGCTGGAAAACTGGAGAAGTTCCTAAGGGACCTGATCAGAGAGCCTGATCTTCTAACAAAGAGATAAAATCTAAGGCATCTCCAAGGAATGCATTTTAACAGAAGTGGAAAAATCCTCCTCGATGCCACAGTTGCTTCAACAACTGATCCAAAAGCACCTAATTTTGTTGCCATCCATTTTAACTGTGGCTTCCCCCTGCTCACAGCATAATGGCCCTGCTACTGTTTCTCCTTCAAACATCTTGTTCTGTACGTGCAGGAGTATGTCAGCAGTGACTTAAGTCCCAGCACAAGCAGCACGATGAGGGAAGAACAGGGGTTATCTAACCTCGTTCATTGTGCAGCATCTTTTCACATTATTGCTTCATGCAGGGAGCTGTTATGTTCTTAACATAAAGAATTTAGGAAATTCAGCATTAAATCAGCTGCGAGTCAGCCCTGAGAGGACGCTTTGAGAAGCTCCCAAGGAGGCAGGTCCTTACCAAAGGCTTTTGCAGAACAAAAACGTACCCAAGCAAACCATGAGCTGAGGCATCGTTCAGTACGTGTTCTTTATTCCAACTTAAAGTACATTAGAAACAGCACACAGGACCAGCAGCAGCTTTCATGACAGTTCAACCCAATGCACTGCTGTCACGCGGTCATTCAGTTGCACTATTAAAGTAGGTGATTGAAACAAGTCTTCCACTCTACACGCAAGCACTCACTCACCTGCCACTTTAAATAGGTTTCCAACAGAATAAAAATAGATACACCCCAGAATACAAAAAGTTTAATTTTAACAGTTTTTCACTAAAGCCTTTATACAAATTGATAAAAGGGTGCACAATTTCCTAAAATTTTAGGTACACTTTAACTGAGCCTTTTTTTACTTGGTAAAAGGATCCATGTTCCTGTCTTTGAACAGAATATGATGGCCAAAATTTCAAAGAAAATTCCTAGTTCAATTTACAATTTGTACATTGGTTTTGAAGTGATACCTGCACTGAGTAGCAGGCCAATGGCTGCTCACACATGTCCCACTTTCCCCGAAAGAACTGTGCACCGCTCTGTTGTAGTTCGGGAGCCTACGTGTCCTGGAAACTGGGCTGGGGGAAACAACCCCCCAACTTTCAGTTGTGCACACAAAAATGGTCCCAACTGACCTAAAAAGCCCAAACATCACAGTTGTAAATAACACCACCCCTGGCAAGGATCACCCAGAGGCCAGGGCCTGCAGACCTGTTTTGCATCATTAGCACAACGAAAGTGGAGTGCTTCCCATCTGTGATTTGCCTGAGCAATTTCACTCAAGACTCTGGTACTGAAACAAACTGCAACAGGTAAATTTGGTGTTCTAAAAATATTTTTTGGTCAATACAAGCTATCATGATTTTTTTTCTTTTTTTTTAAGCCAGATAAATATTCTTGTTTCTACTACTGATCAGTGAAGTCCAGTGGTTCCATTTGTTACTTCACGTGGAGCTTCACAGCAGCATCTCAGAACTGGCACCATCTGCCTAGAGGTGACTAACCCCCCCACTTCAAAAGACACTAGCATTTTACAGAGGAGAATTTATTCAGAAAGTCAATAAGTACAATTCCCTTTACACTGCCCCCCTCCCCACCCACCTACAGTTTGGCAAGGTTAAATGCTTCAGATGAACTTCTAGAGTACTTAAATCAAGCACTTTCACCACTGCACTGCTTTACGTAAAGTGGCCGTTCAAACAAATTAAGGAGAAATTAAAATACTGCCCAGCAAAAGCAACACAGCACCTGTGTTTGAGAGTATGAGCTACTACAGACATCTTCTGGACAATCTATTTAAGGAAAAGCAGGACAAATCCATCAGGAAGCCAGAAATGAGTCTTAAGAGCTCAGGGAGTGCCAAGAGAATGACATCCTATTTAGTACAAGTTGAGTTTTTAGCCAAAAATCAGCTGCCTTATTTTTATTTTTTTTCTTAATCCACATCCATTATATGTATATTTGTTGAATTTCAACTGATCATGTTTATGCTGAATCTCATCCCAATTAAAGGCAATAAAGCATTTATTTATTTGTTTTAGACAGTTACATTTTGCCTTTTTTGGCAAATTATTTCTAAGAATTCAAAATATTTTCCCCTTTTAAGGCTAAACTAAGAAAGGTGAAAAGCTTCTGTAAACATTGCCTTTTCCTCCCCATGGTTGCACAATTTTAAGTCCAACTGCAAATGAGGTAATTTTTGTGTACTCGTATCTTAAAAGTCCTTTTCTGGACTAGCTTAGAGGCGTGCCAATCTGAACACTGATCCAATTGTAGTGGGAGAGCTTCCACAGCAGGGTACACACCAGTTCCAGCAGCTATTCTTCAGTTAGTTATCTTCTCAATTTCATCCAAGTCATCAGTATCCAATTTGTTTATCTTTTTGTCTGTTCAAAAAAAAAGAGAGAGAGAGAGAGAAAAAAAAACCCAAGATGGTCAGATTCAGTGTAACAAAGCACAGAAGAGAAAGTTGCATTCTTCAGCTGGTCTCAGGGAAATTAAGTCTATCCATGAAATATCCATTTGGCTTTTAAACTGAAACATCAACTTTTTCTCTTTTTCTTTCATAAAGGACCCATCAGGATCCTTCAACATTACTAGCTCTGGGCTGTCCATTTTAAGGACTATCCAGGTAACAACAGAAACAAATCAACTTTTCTCTGCCCCTATCTTACTTGGGAAGCTCGCGATTTTTAAGTTACATATAGACACTTGCCACACATCTTTTGTCCTGCACGATAAACAGTGCTTTGCATCCATGCATTTCATCCAGTAATGGCTCATTACCCACTTGACAGGAAAGGGAACAAGAATTTTTTATTGCACAGCTCCATTTCTCACATTATTCTCTCAGAGCCAATTGCAACTCAAAATGCAGCTGACGTCCTCTTCAGCTCGAGCCTTGACAAACACCCATTAGAGTCAGAGCTGCTTCACACACAGCTAGTGAAAATTTGCCTGGACTAGTCTCATGTTTAGAGAGAAAAAGAAGTAGGAGGGTACGTACTGAAGTGTTCCTGGATTCTGTTGAGAATGTTCATGCTGTGCTTGCTGTCCACCATGTTAATAGCCAGTCCTCGCTTGCCAAAACGACCCGTGCGGCCGATCCGGTGCAGGTAGGTCTCGTTGTCCGGGTTACCGTCTTTATCCACAGGAAGGTCAAAATTGATAACAACCGAGACCTGCTCTACATCAATCCCTGATGAGAGAAAGCATCAGGTTACGATTCCATTTTATCCATTTTGGCACAGAAACAGCATCTGTCTGGACCTGCGTGCGCTTCAGTACCAACACCTATGGCTTCCAAACTGCACGGTTTTCAACAGCTGTCAGAGAGCTGCCACACAGCTGTCCCAAGTTAGAAGCCAGTGTCAACCTCTGAAATAACACCAAGAGCGGCTAAGAGTATTCAGCAAAAGTTATAGGTACATCAGGAAATGGATCTTTTCCGCAACATATTTATGAAGTACCTGAAAATAAGAACCATCGAACTATTACACCAAAGAATCCCATTAAAATAGATAATGAAAAAACAGTCTGAGCTGCTCGGCTTTACCCAATGCTTATGAATTATGCGTTTCTACTGGAAACTCCCTCCTCTTCTCAGAAGCTATAAAAGACCTTTTGGCTTTTTCAGTACCGAGTCGTCCTTGTACTTGCTCCCTACCTCTGGCACAGACGTTTGTGGTCACCAGCAAAAAAAATGCTCTCTGCTCCACCATCATCTCACCACTGAGCAATGCCACCTGGTGGCCCTCCTTGGAGAGCTCCGCCGCCAGCCAGCCGGCCGTCTTGCGGGTCTGGAACACAAAGTTAGGCCTGTCTTTGCATAGAGGTTCTAAAACTGGAAGCAAGAACAAAGTCTCTTGAGACCACATAGACTGTGGCAGACTCCAAACACAGGGCTGATCCCTTTATACTGCCTGTAGCAGCTTTACATGGTTGTTCTGGCACTGTCAGCTTTGCTTTTGCTTTGGAAGAGTTATGGTAGCCAAAAAAAGAAAAATGATGATGATGATGCCTGGACAGGTTTCTTAACACTGACAGATACTAAAGGAGTTGTTGGGAGTAGCAAAAGGACTCACGTGGCAGAAGATCATGGCCTGGGCAATGGTGATGGCGCCGTAGATATTACAGAGAGCCTGGAACTTTTCATCTCTGTTATTGCACAGAACATAGTACTGCTTAATAGTGTCCAGTGTTTCCTCCTCTCGCTTCAGTTTGATAATGTTTGGATCAGGAACAACTTTCTGAGCAAATTTCCACACAGAATCTTCAAAAGTGGCTGAAAATAGAAGCATCTGGCAGTCTCTCGGGAGCATTCTGCAAGAAAAAGGAAAACGGGAGTCACATGCAACACTCTTGCTTCACGGTATCTCAACAGAATCAGTGCTAGAGGCAAAGGGAAACAAAACCCTTGGGAATTGCTCATTTCAGTGACTGGGAAGACTTAAACTCATCTTTGTAATACCAGATCACTCCCATGTGGGCCAGTAGCATCCACAAATGAATAAACCCTGATCTGGGAACACATTTTTTATTCCTTAAGAAAATTTAACTGCCTGTCATCCCCTAACATTCTGTCTCCATTAATCATCTGAATTTGAGCTAAATAAATGATTCTAATATAGTTGCTTCATCAGTCAAGAACTTAGCCCTGCTGCCTCCACATTACAAAACACCTCGCTATAATTGAAAGGAACAATCATCTCTCATGGTCAGGCCAGAAGTCCTTACCTCTGAATGCGGATGCTTTGATCTTGATGGCCCTGGGTTGCTATCATCACATCAGCTTCGTCCAAGACAAACACTTTGATTTTCTTGGGATCTATGAATTTCAGTTTGGAACACCAGTCCAGCACGGTACCAGGTGTGCCAATTACAATCTGCTCAGAGATCTTCTGACCTCTCTCCACTGCCAAGACAGAAGTTAAATCAGTCACAAAAGAGCTCCTAGTATTTAGCTGTGTTTGCATTAAGGAAGAAATTCTGCTAAAATCCAAAGCATCAACAGAATTGTCGTCCCAATGGAACCCCTGCCCCACTCTGATTTAAGTCGCATTGCACCAAGTTCATATTCTGTATGGATCCAACACTGGTGAGGAAAAGAGTTGGTTGTGCTGGAGACTGACACAACAGTAGAATAATCTTTCTCATTCCCAGTCTCTCAGTGGCATTCTACTTTACTCACATTTATTGCCTCGGACAGCATAGGCAAGTTTCAGCTCTGGATAAAACTTTCCCATCTGTTCAATCACTTTTCCCGTTTGAAGCGCCAGCTCATATGTTGGGGAAAGGCACAAACACTAAAGAGATAGAAGGATTAATGAGTTTGAGATGATCGACATGATCACGCTTGCTTTTAAAACCCTTTACTGTGGTTTTACTGAAGATGAACACACGAGCAGCTAAGCCGTTTCCAAAAGTCCACCCAGTTCTGGATTTTGTAACTTTGCAAATTAGTTCATATGCCTGCAATCATCTAGCTACAGGCTTGCTGTGTCCAACTCTGATACTTATACTCAAGAGTACAAATATTTTGCTAAAGGACATATAAAGAAAGTGGTGATAAGGGGTCTAATAGCTACCTAAGGTCCATTAAAAATAAACCAAGAAACCCTAAAAGATAAAATATTAACAGCATCTGCTCGAGGTGGCATTACACTACCACTAACGCGCACAGAAGAGTCGTATTCCAGAAATGTTTACCTGTGGATACTTGTTCCCAGGTTCAACACGACTGAGCATGGCTAAGACGAAGGCAGCTGTCTTACCAGTACCAGACTGCGACTGTGCGATCAAGTTCTGTGGGCTGCAACACAGAGCAGACGCTTCAAACGCTGGCACGAGCTCAGCGAAACGATCCACACAAACGACAGAGATGAGCAACAAAGAAAACATAGCAAGGAGCAGGCATAAGCATTTTAACACACCCGAATTTTATCAGTCCTGTGTATTCCTAGAGCAGAAGTTTGTTTCCAACATCTACCAACAAATTCTTTCAGTACAAGTGACCTTGATCACTAGATTTCTAAGGAAAACTGCTACAATCTGGCAGTACTTTTCCATTTTGCACATCTCCCTCTAGTGTTTTAATACTTCACATATTTCAGCGCAGAGGAGCGGAGAGAAAGGAGCAGAGGAAAATCAACCAGTTGTGACACAGAATCCACATCATCCTGGCTACTCCCATCTACCCAGGATTTTCAGACTAATGTCCCACAACAGCTTTATTACTTCACCCCTACACTGACTAGGAAAAAAAAAAATCAGATTTACCTTGGTTACTGTAGATGCAGTATCTGACTAAGTCATGTTTAGTGCCTGCCCTAGGAAACAGGCAGACCTAGGGCTGCCGTCACGCAGCCACAGAAGCCCTGGGTCACGGGACCCCTTTCGCCATCCTCCCTCCCATCCACAGCAGCAGCCTAGCAATAGCTAAAGAAATCCTTCTAATCCTTTCTAAATACAAAGGGAGCAGAAAGTACGGGTACACACGGCTCAGCAAGCATCATGGGCAGGGCATTCTCTTGTATCTTTGATGGTCGGTTGAAGCCCATGGCATAGACTCCTTGCAGAAGCTGCGGCTTCCTGAAAAGAGAGGAGGATTTTTTTTAGTTATGTTTTCAAACATCTCTGTGCTAAGCAGCTGTACCACACCGACAGGCTGCGTTTTGAGGAGAACTTAATAAGGGTCGTTGGCAACGCAGCATTAATTCCCTGCAGTGCTCAGGAATGTCACCCAGAAAACAGCTGACCCATTGCTTCAAACCCTTTTCCATCCAAGTTACCCTCTTAGCTGGTAGGAAGTTATGGGCATACACAAAAAGACTTCAAAACACACCGACTTACCCGGGAAAATCTACATATTTTCAGAAATACCAAACGAAACCTTAAAAACCAGAAGGTGCATCACTTTGCCTTCAAGATTATGCCTCATAAAAGGGAGCAAAATCATTTTGACAGCAAAATGTTGCATGTCCTGCTAAAACACGTTTGATTTCTGCGTTGACTTCACATTTAGCTCAAACCATAGAGCACAGTGAGCCTCTCTTTCACCTGGTGACTCTTCAAAGGGACACAAATCATTCAAGGTAACTGTGCACATGGTTACGTTTCAAGTTAAGGAAGCACAAATGCAGACAGCTCAAGAGACAATGTCCACCGATAAAGTTAAAAAATAATAATAATAAGTCAGCCTATATGCCTGCCTTTTGCGACTGTGTCGCACCTCGAGTGCCTCGAGCACTGCGCTTCTTGCATGTTCTAAAGCAGCTTTGCAAACAGCCCTGGCAATTCCAGGGCAGAGACCATTAATCCTACCCTTAAGGTCAATCCCTTTTCCTTAGCTATGCCTAATCTTGGCACCAAAGTTATCACTCCTTCAAGACTTAAACAGGGGGCAAAGCAGCCTCTGCATGTGCAAATGAAATTTCATGGCACCAAATCATTACAAAGATCTCCATTTTGATGGTTTTTGTAATAGATCCACCTCTTACTGCAGTAACACTGGCTTTATGCACAAAAACAGAAGACAGATAACCTTAGTTCAGCGTGACTTGACAGTAACCTAGTGTTCAAGTGTGCGGCGACGCTGCTAACCCTTAAACATTCACAATAACTATTTCTGCAAGTTAGCTCGCTAGTCTCAGCGGACACTTGTGTACACAAAAGGAGATTTAAGAATAACCTAAAATGCAAGTGTTGGGAAGCTCTGAGCTGATGAGCTCGCTGGAGAGCTGTTAGCGTTGCTCAGAAGTAAGCATTTTCTCTTCAAGGCAAGTGAGTTTTCCTAAAAGTCCCAGCTTTTCCCAGTAAGAACGTGCTATTTGGCACAACGTGCTTTTTCAAAAGTGCAGATTCCTTTTGGATGCAACTTGAACAAAAAGCTCTTTGAGAAGGCAACCTTGGGAGCAGGGACCTACAAAGCCCTACGCTATGGAACCGTTGCCAGGGATACACCAGGTCATAACAAAATAACAAAATAACAAAAAAAAAAAAAAAAAAAAAAAAAAAGACTCTATTGGCCTGACTGCCCCCATGGACTATCTGGCCTCTGAAAGGTGATGCTAACAGGCATTTTTTGTGTCTTTTTGTAGACATTCAGCCACAATGTCGACAACTCAATGCCCTGACATTTCAAGGTGGGATGTGTTACTAGGGCTGATTAGAGGGGGAAAAATGCCAGATGTGCCCAGATCAGGACTGAGAACCCTTGCACAGGAAGCTACTGCTCAGAACAAACTCATTTCAGATGCAAAACACCAAGGAAAAAAAAAAGAGTGCTACTTCTCACTGCTTGCACTCAAACAATACAACACGCAATACACTGGTTTATTAATGACATACTTGCAGCTACCTGAAACAGAAAGCAGTGATTTCTCCATCAGCCGGA